CCGTTCGACACCATTTACCCATTTACCTGTCTTCTCGTTACTGCCCTAATTCTCACTCATTTCGCGTGAACAGTCTTGCGGGAAAGGGGGTTTCTTTTCACCCGAGAAGCTTATTTTAGACAACACTGGAGCATGACAATTTTTCACTTCGCATCCACCTTTTTTTCTTCGTTTTCTTATTATTATTATTTTTTTGCATTTTTTTTTCTTTCGTTCGTTTATTTGCTTGCTCTTTCTTTTTTGCTTTTTTTTTTTTTTTCTTTTTAGTTCGCTTTGTTTCGTTCACGTTTAGCCACGAAGTGGGCTTTCGAGCACGTCTCTTAGATGAGAATAACGTGAATTTTTGTTTTTGTTTTTGTTTTTTTTTTTTTCTTTCTCCTAATGTGAATTTCGAAATCATACGAGCGAAATTTCGTTTTCGTTGAAACACGCACGAAGATGGGGGGAAATGTTTCTGCGTTTACATATAAAGTCGCGTAGCAAAAATACGAAGCGGATTTTTCACAGTCGAGAATGTCTTTTTTTTTTTATAGAGAATATATAGAGAAATGGGTTGTGAGTTTTTTTATGGAAGTAATTGGAATGGAATGATTATGAAAATATGTAAATGAACATGAATACGCGTATATTAATGTAGCGTCGCGCTTTATGCAACGTGATGATTGATTAATATTTGCACTTTTTCAACGGATCAGTGTCACATTTCAAAATTTCAGATAAAGTCTTTGCAAAATTCGGATATAAAGGGTTATCTGATTTAACGTTTTATGTCTTCGTAGTTAATTACATGACGCTTTACACGAAGCTCGAAAGTGATAGCTTAAGCGTATTAGCCGGATGTTGTTATAGGCTTTCGGAGAATTAAAATTCCATTTCATCGCAAAATGCATTTTAACAGCGATTTTCATTGCAATAGAATTCGCACTCAAGTTGGAATAGCTAGAAAGAAATTTTGAAAAACAGCGATGGAGTATTACGAGTATTTCTTCTTACTTAACTATAGAGAGAATTTTAAAAATTATAATTATATTCATTATTTTTTTCAAAATGAAATATTCTTCGTCGAAAGCTTTTGCAATTTTTACATCATTGTGTTGAATAAAATCTAAAGTCTAAAAAATTTACTTGACAGCAAATTTCTCTCATAAAAATGTCACGTCTTCAAATATTAATATAGACTTGCAACGAACACAGTTTCCGATCCCTTTCTGAGCTAGACTATCCGGTGTATATATAAAAGCAAATGTAATCAAGGGGGAAAACAAAAGCTTCGTTTCCAAAGGAACATGTTCAAAGGAACCAGCACGTTATCAATTCTCGACAGAGACGCACTCGAAGACACATTGATTACAACTGAGTAGTTACTATACGCATATAACCTACGTGGAATAGCATCGATTCGCGAATATGATTCAAGCGTTTACTTAGAAACGAAAGTATCGTGTATTTATTACGCTGCTAACAAGTTGTTCGTTACCTATTACTCATTAGGCCTTAACAAACTTATGCATCTTCTCTTTATGGTCGTGTCGATCTGCGCGTTTTATATACAAATCAACGACCGCGTAAATTTACTCTAGATCGAGAAGCCTCGATCGAAGTGTCTCTCATTGATCGAGAGACAAAAATGATCTCTTGTGCTTGATTTCTCTTCGTTCCTAGACGAGATATGAATGCTTAGAAAAATGGCAAACGACACCGATGATATGAGAAAATGTGTGATAAAACGATGTGAACAGAGACCTGACGAGACATCGAGATGATTTTTCATTCGATAATACGCGAGGAACGTTCGCATTGATTAATTATTAATATCACACGTCGGCAATACTTCTCTGGCCAAGATATGTACACTATCAGTCAGAAGTTTGGTATTTGGTATTACGTTAATACTTAATTCGATGTAAATAAGATTCAAGATTTATATTGAAATTTATTGATAACAACTTACGTTGTTTTGATGAATTTTCATATTAAAAAAATTCCTTAACACTCCGATTCAACGAACCTCATTTGCATAGAGAATAAACTTTCACGTTCAAAAATTCCTTTGTAGTTTAATCCGATGAATTATATTTGAATAAATTTACACACTAAAAACTTACTTAACACCTTGATGAAATGAACCACATTTGAATAAAGTATATCAGACAAAGTGAACTCGGCAGAATAGGGCAATAAAACTAGAACAGACTTTGCTAATCATTTAGCTTTCAATCTTACTTCGGATCTATTACCCTCCTCAATTCCAGACTTTTGAAATTGAAAATTTAATCGGATAGCTTTATTAATAATAAACACTCTTCACTTCGTAACTTTCCCTCGAATAGAAAACATTTCGCGAGGTGCGGTGTGTAATTCCAATCTTCCGATAGATAGTGTAAGTAGCTGAGTCTTGAACTTTGAATGTTGTTCAAAACGTGACCAAGATTTCGGTAAATTCCAAGGGGAAACTTCTGACGTTTATAAAAGACGTATTCTGAATATGATTATTCTCAGGAAATTTTGTATGAAATTTCATCGTCGCGATGTCTCGACGAGGTGACATTACGTTCGTGATACAGCTTTGAAATTACTGTTGCTTATCCATGCACGTGTGAGGAATCTTGTCGTCGAGGGATCGGGATTTTCGAGATGATGATTGATTGATTTGTAATTGATGGATATGAAGGAAGAAGCTGCTGCTAGGATTCGCAGCATGAATGGTCCACGTGAACTTACGACGCGATGATATGTGAGAAGAGATTGATACGCGAGATTGATACGTTCGAGACGATGGGTGACTAAATATCTAAATTCATGAATGTTCGCCGTTTTCGCAGTTAAAATGTCCAAGATTTCCTAAATAATGCGTAATTATGATTATATTTTAGATTTAGCATACTTATAGCAATATAAATAGTCTCTTTTTAACATGTAATAAAAATTCGAGCTAATTTATCTTTTCATCTTTGAGATTTAGATAACGTAATGTATTCGATAGCAAGAAAGATATCAGTATACTAACAGAATAGTCTTTTCTTACTCGTGTTAATATTTACAAGCTTCAACCTATCATTATGTGCTTTAGATCCTTCTTTCTGAAGTAGAGTCAAGAAGTAGTGCCTATTCAAAAACACTTACAGACGTCATAGTTAAGCTTATCTGCAGAATTATCGGCAACTTTGCGCCCATACGTAGAATTAATAATTATGAGAAAAGTGCTCAGCACACGCTACGACAATTCTTCTTACTTCGAACACGAATTGCACCTTAGAAGCATTGATTAAGGTCTAGTTCAAAAAATTAGTTATCGTCTCATCTCGACAATGTCTACGTCAATTGCTGCGTGACTAGCATTAGAGGTCGCTTTGCATCGATATTTTTAACCATTTTTGTTCTGTTAATATAGTTGATTATTTGAGCTTTATAGCGACTTGTTTATGTTCAACCTGAAATTGCAAATTAAATTCAGTTCTAAGGAAAGTTCTTCGTTAATACGAAGTTCTGGGTTAAGTATATCTGCAAAGATACCTGCAGAGATAACTGTGAAGCTCGTGAAAATCCTGCTTGTAGCTTCTACTGTTAATTCTCTAACAAACTTCTCGCAGAAACAAAACAGAATGTAGAACGTTGTCACAACAAACGTAGATGAATTGCGTCACGTTACAATGATATTTATCGTGTGATCTAGAAAAATTTTGTCTCTATTAAAATACTATCCAATTTCAAACGTTATTTCTCGAACGTTATTAGGTTAGTTTTGTTCATGATAGAAACAATTATTCAAATATTTGCTATCCTATAAAATGTTACAGAATTTATTTATTATAGATATTTATCTATTTATTGTATATCAATTTGCTTTGATAATAGAAAATGAAACAATAATTTATCAATTAATAGGATTATCAAATGGAAACAAGTTACGAGTTATAGGTTATAAACTTTTTCTATATGATTAAATACCGGAATTAAATAATTAACTTCTACCTTTTTTTTTTAATTCAAATAGAATAATCAAATAGCTTGTAATCTCCCTAACCTGTTTCAGTAAAACGATGATCTCTCAATCATTCAGGCGAAATGTCCCTCTCCTTGTTTCACAGAAATTCTTGTTTAACTTTCTTTTCACTTTAAAATTTCGATGTATCGAAGTTCAAATATGGCGGAGAGGGCGCGCTCAACGAAAAAGCGGGAAAACAGATGCGCGCGCACCGAGAAACAAAAATGGCTGATGAACGAAAAAGAAGGAATGGCACGGTAAGCTTTTGTTTTGTGAAGAATTCAAGTTTTTCAGTAAGCTTGTTTCCTGAAGAAATCGAGAATTTGACCTATATTCTTTCCCATGTTTGTACTTTGAATGGCATTCGGCAAAGGCAGGAAAAATGTACTTTTTCATTCCCGTTAACCTCGAATCGAAAGGAATTGCCGTTGGCTGAATTGCTTTGATGTGAAATCCAAGACAAGTAAATCGACGAAAAGTAATTTCCTTTTGCTGCTTGGGAACAATTTACTCGAGTTTGTCTTGCGGTAAGTACGTAACACAAGTAAATAAAACAATGGAATTCCACGTAAATGACAGTGATAGAAATATATCTCTGTTTACGACATTAGTCTCGAGTACTTTTTATGGCCGAATTGTTATATACAATATAACGCGTAGAAAGTATGAATTCGTGCTAACAAAGTAACTTGTTTGAAATGATTATTGTCACGTTAACTTTTGTTTCATCAAATTGTTTTTTTTTTTTTTCAATAAATAGTATAAATATACTTGAAACTCGCGTTATACGGCAGTCTATTGTATTTTGGAATATTATACAACATACAAATGTACTAAATGTGTGCTAGAATTGAATACGAAATGAGTGCCAGAATTTTCATGTGCGATTAACAAT